GTTACCAGATCTTGCCAAATTTCTGCTAATGGATGTGGAGGCTTGTAAGCAAGAAACGTGGGCTGTACTTTAAAGACCTAGGAGGTGTTGGGTTGTCTGCCGCACACACAAGGGCTGAGGCTGCAAAACCACTGACAGCTTTTCGCACCTTAACATAGTTTCATAGAAACCGTTGTGTGTCATAGCCACAAGAAGTGAACAGAACAAGTCAGCACTGGAATGCGGTACGGTACTGCTGTTCATTAAACGTGCTGCAGCCAGGGGATGCTTACCACTCAGTTAAAACTGAAATAATTTCACTAGTCTATTCATTTTTAACAAGCTACCTAAGCAAGAGCTGAGTTACCTTGGGGCAGTTGCAGAACTTCGCAGTCTTCTGATGGATCATCTAAAATTAGAGCAGAATTTAATTAATTGATTTTTGTCTCAGAAACATAAGGGACAACCAGCTGAACATTACAATTTATTGCTGCTACTTTTGATATCTTTTACTTTCATGTTGGAAAATATATTGGATGATACGGTTTTAATTTACTTCTGTCTCATATTGCTTTAATTTGCTCCCATAATGATGGAACTCATCATCCCCAAAGATTTTTTTCCTTCAAACTCAATTAGGGCCTATTACGCAAGTAAGACAGACTTCGAGTACTGTTAGCTACTTGCTAGCAGCCAAAGGATAGAATGACTTACATATATGTAATCATGACAGAAGCAAACAGCTATTTAAAACTGAAGAAGCAGATGCATTGTACTGCTTATCCGCCTGACCATGAAGATTTTCAGATGTAATGGAACTATTGCATGAGTGGTGATGGAAGACTTTTCCATTAATTCATCAATATCGGAAAAAGAGTGAAAAACTTCAAAAGCCTCTGGGGTGGGTGGGTGGGGATGGGGGAGGGAATCTTTTTAAACACAAGCAAAATTTTATAAATATATGTACAATACATAAAAGTTACTCCGTTTCCTCCTTCCTCTGTCCATAACATTCAAATCGACAAGAAGTGGTTTCATCCTGTTGAATGTCAACAGAGCTGTTTCAGCTTGGCTTCGCCATCAAGAATACAGAGAACCTGTATGGCTCGTAAGCTATTTAGGAGAGAATATTTTGGATTTATTTGTCAGTCATCTATTTCCAGGGCCCAGTTACATTTATCAAAGACTTCAGTGAAACTTTATTAACTCAATAGCTCTGTTAATGACCTGTAGATTTTTTTACCCACAGTTTCAACATGGTGTTCTGATTGATTTATTATTTTCAGAGGCTGGAGTAGTGGTGGGAAGAAAGGGTGTTATTTAGAAACTAGCTTCAGAAGAAAAGTATATTTTCTTTTATTAAAACAAACTGCACAATGCCGCCAATAGCCATATTCCAACTTGGGTAGGTAAGGAGGTTTAAAGATGAAATTTCCCTTGATGCAAAGGTCATCCTCAAATTACAGAATTTGAAACTAAACCAGTTCCATCTTTCTTTTAAGACTCAGTTTTCTATTCTGCATTCTCACCTGTACACCGAATTAATTTTCTAAATGTTTAAAGTTAGTTTTTTGAGGATGGTCTGCTTCATTTACAGCAGAAGTGTACAGGTAGTCTAAGTGCTTAAAGCGCTTTTCTCAGAAGAGAAATGTAGACTGTGTGTAGACTCCAGCTTTGGGGGCTCACGGAGGCTGTAATCTGTGTTGGAAAACAGACACACGTGAAATAAATGCCTTTTTTCTACACATCGTTAGGTGCTGTTATTTTTTCACCTACCTATTTAAAAAAAATAATAAATATTTTGTAAGTCAATGCAAGCAAATACTGATGAGTGCAGTTCCTTAGAATAGACGTAAGGCTTATAATGACACTACAGTTCAGTGATTGTATGCATGGATGCTGTTCTAGAAGAAATTGTTAGTTTAGCAGGATGCATACAAGAATGTGTTTTGTTGGTATGGGTTTTGTTTGTTTGTGGGGTTTTTTTTAAAGCAATTTTTCAACATAGGCTTATCTAGAATGTTTTTTTTCCCCTATTGTGAGTGCCATAAATCAAAGCCAGATATGTTGAAAAGCTACTAACTTTTTGAAATGGTCATATAAGGTGGCAGGGAAGATAGATTAATATTTGAAACAAGTTGCTGATTTCATGTTTTTTCAAGTCAGTTCACTACTGATACTAATACCAGGTTAAAATATATTCAAAGGAAAGACATTCTCACTTGAGAGCTTGTGTAAAGGTAGGTAATATAATGTCAGAATCATCTGATTTGAGAGTTTTGTGGTTGTAATTTGTATTGTAGGGATGCTGAAGCAACATCTTACTAGGAAAGCATGAGTAGAAAGAAGAAACATGATTTTGAAGTGATGAATGTCCCAGAGGAAGTGTTGAAGCATCTAATCTTGAATCACTTCAAGCTTGCCTTGACAGAGTCCTAGAATAAAAATAAAATAAAAAATCGCTCCTTACACTTATGATGACAGAACATGGGTTCCATCTCCCAAAATCTCAGATTTTTTGCATATTAGCTTCTCGCTTAATTTCTTGTTGCAGTGTTCATACAGAAGTGAGACCAGTCCCTATGTAGTTGGGAAAATTCTTTTTTTGTTGTTGTTGAACTTTGCTCATGTGGTCTTTTGCAAAGAAAGCACAGATGTAAAATCTTTTCTGTGCTTGTGCTGCTGCTTTGTCAGGAAGAAGAGTCACTTCTCTATTTCCAGCTTTGTCAGATAGAGGCTCCAGAAAGCAGCGAACAAGTTTCCCAAGAAAAAGAATAAGCAAATGAAACCAAAGACTAAAGTTTTATTTCCCCTTCTTCCCCCAACATCTTAAGGAACTGCTGGGCACCATATCTTACATTAAATTTAATTTGAGAGGAATATAATGCCTATAAATTCAAGGATTGCTTCCTATAACAGAGGGGAAAACATTATGCCATACAGAAGAAAATTTAGCAAGTACACGAGACAATTTTTTGCAAACTCCTTCTGTCATTCAGTTGATACGTTGAACAAGCCGTGTCTATGCTCCTGAACAGAGCTGTGGTAAAGCAAGGAGGAGGAAATCCAGCTAACAGAAATAGAAAACATCAGAGCCAAACCTTCGCTGTGTCCGTAGCCTAGGTCCTTCAGTTTAGGGGTATGGCTCTGTGATGGGCAGTACCTTAGCTTAGCATTCCCCCGCCATCCCATACAGTCCAACCTGACCCTTATATTCTCATGATGAACATTGTCATAGTTGTCTAAAATCAGTTATCTGACAAAATAGACAAGTGATTTTTATTTTTTTTTTTCCCATAAGTCAGGATATGGAACAGGAATTGCTGTTCATAAAACTTCTGTTCTGAAAACTTCTTGCTGGCTTTTTTATCAGATAAAATGGGCTGTAACACACATGGCTGTTACCTTGGGTTTTTTCTACGTTTACTAAAGATACGGATTATAAAATCCAAAGAATAGGCATAATTCAGGCAATGGTAACGCAAGCCTTGACAAAACAGTACATTATCTTATTTCTGAATAATTTTAATTCATATCTTCAAACTGTAATAATAGTGAACATAGCATTTGGCAGATTTAGCATGTTAATACTTCACTTCCTTGATGATAAAAAGGTGCCTCGTTCTGAACAGGTTATAATTACTCTTCCTTCACTTAAAATTCCACTTGTCTCAGTGCTTTAAGGTGAGGAAATAGTTGGGGACTTTCAGTATGGTTTGTGCCTTTCACCCTTACTGTTTGGCTGATAATTGGTGAAAACAGCCAAGAAATGCTTATAACATACTGATTTAAGCAGCTGCCTGCAGTTCTTCTTCAGTCTAGTTTGCAAAGATGAAGTATGAGAATGAGCTGAGCTTGGGGTTTAGCTAGGCTTGGAAAAAGCTAGCTAGCTTTTGTGAGAACACGTTTAGTCAAACTCTAAGTTTGTCATTGGAGGTTTCTTCGGTTTTGTTTTCTAACTGTGGGTAAGGCCAGTTGGACCACAGTTGGTAGCACAGATTTATAACACAGCCCTTGTGATAGGAGGGAACCGGGAACTAACTGAGCAAGAAAAAGAAATGGAGCTTGAGCTGCATTGTATGTATTTGCGTCTAGAGCAGCCTCAGCCTCACTTTTTATTCCCTTCATGTTCCATAGCAGCTGTGCCACGCTGACGGTGAAACAGCCTAGGAGCATTTTTGATGGCCACTGGGATTTTAGGTGGATTTAAATGTGTTATGAGTCATCCCACTCTAGTTTTTCTGAGTGGTTCAATGCAGTGGTGGGAAACGGTAATGAAAATGTTTTGGAGCCATAATATGGGTAGGGTGGAGATGAAGAACCAGCTAGCAGTAAAGGGAGTAGAGACTCGTGGTGATTTGCTAGGTGAGCCCATGGCTGGGTGAAGTCTTCCCCTGTAGTCCCCCCCTCCGCCTCACCTGCCCCCCTTGAGATGGAGAAGCCTTGGCTTGGTATGGTTTTGAAATATGAAACCTCTTACTGTGTTGGATGAAATTATGGAGCAGCGCAGAAAATAATAATGTAGGATTTTAAAAGTAAACGTTGATAACCACATATTGATGCTTTTACCAAACTGAATAAACATGACTTTTTCTTAATGAAGTGTAATTATAGACCTAATACAGGAGAAGGAGGTGTTTAGAAAATAGCTTGCTGGGGCGGAGAGGAAAAGGTGTGTGCGCTTTTGGTGTGGTGGGTGTTCTGGCTGGTTTTTTAAAGTCTTATTTCCACATATCGTTAAGAATGGGAAGAAGCATCAAAAACTTCCGAGGCATGGAGAGCGAGAGAGAGAGAAATAAACATTCCAGACAGTGGGAATAAGAAGCCATGCCTTGCCTGCTGTGAGGGATGGTTCCGCACCTCTGGAAGAGGCACACATACAGTTCTTCTGTTAAGGCTTTCCTGCTGCTCCTTAAATGCTTCCCCATCTCCTGCAATAAATGCTGCTTTCCAAGAACTGGTATGGGCACCAGTGCCTACAACACTGCATGTAAATTAAATACATACTGTTCTTCTGACAGGTGGATTTGCTGAGTTCTCCAGCTCTTCTCTGTGAAGGAAAATCCACACTCGTCCCTACTTGCATTTCTCAACCCTGCCTACCTGTCTCCAACATTGGCCCAACCAGAATCCTTCCTCATCTCTATCTTGGGTGTCAGCGGGATGTCCTCAACAAGGTGAGCGTTCTGGGTGTCATATTGTTTACTTGGATGAGTGTATAATTTCCAGGTGTCTTTGTCCATGCTTCTATCATACCACATCATTACAGCTATAAAACATCTAAACTAGATATAGATAATAACTGTCTGTGCATAAGCCATGGAAAGCTATGTGGGAGCTAATGATAGGCAGAACATTTAATTAATCCACGTGTCATGTAATATGAAACCTGGTCTCCTCTCCTTCATCTCAGAGGTGATAGGGAACCTTCCTCAGTAACCTATCAACCAACAGCAAACTATCAGATCTGCCATTACAGCAGGTGAGGTGGTTTCCTGTGTATAGCTCTGACTGGTTTGTTTTGGCCAGTCTTGGATGTTAATGAATACAGTAGGACAAAGGAAGATTGTCTGGTTTTTGGTATTTCCTTCAAGTGCTGGAAAAAATAGCACTTAAATACCATGAATTGTATAATGAGGGACCGCTGCAAACAAATCTTTGTACACCTAATAAAATGTTCAGACCTGGACAATCAGTGGGATCACTTAAAACAAGCTTTTATGGTAGCACTGCACTAAGAAACTTTTACTGTTTCTAAATACATGTGCATTTAATAATTTCTGTTCCTAAAGAATAGCCCAGGTTATTTTGGTATACTTAAAATAGTCTGCAAAGTCATCAGATATAGCACTTGTAGGGTGCTGGACTACCAGATGTCTAAAAGAGCTTCTCTCGAATTGTTCAAATATATAATTCCTATGTATATCCACAGATGTTTGCCTCCATGAGGAGACCAACTCATATTGCTTACAATCTGCATCTTGGGTCCCTTTGCAAGGGAATTTTTATTACTTGTGCTGCGTGTGCCTGCTTGCCTCCCGTGTTATCTGACAGTCTATTTATTAGTTGAATCTCCAACAGCCTTCGTAAGTTGGCATTAAATACATGGATGGGGGAGAGGGGAGGAGTGCTTCACCCTAGCATATTGCCTTAATTATGTGTATGTTTTTTGTCCATGTATAAAGCTTAAGACAGGAACTATCCTAATAGTCCTGTAATTGGATCAAATTCATATACCTTGACCATTATCATAACTTTCACTGGTTTCTTCTACTTTCACTCCATCCCAGTCTGGCCATTAACAGGCTATTTTTTGATTTTTCACAATTGTCCTAAGTGGATCTTTGACACACAAGCAATCATGTAGAAAGCAATTATGGAATCAGAGCACACAGAAAAATCTTTTGCATGGAGGAGAGTCAGCAGTCACTGTGCTTACTTTGTCCTTTAAAATCTTCTGTGTCTTTACTGCCAGGTAGCAAGTCAGCAATTCAAACTTGATTCACCTATGATGGATGTTAAAGCAACTTACTACTTTTCCTACCACAAAAGTAATTTGTGGTCCCCAGACAAAAGACAGCAGGAACTAAGTGATTAAAAAAAAAAAAAAATCCCTTGCATTGAATGGCTGAGTATTAGAAAGATGCTTTTATGCTGTTTGTTTCAATGTGTGAATGGCAAGTGCTATCCTAGGTCACAGTGGGAGTGAGGGGGCTCCTTGTTCTCCGTGTTCTCCTCCAGAGCCAGGGGTGTGCTACTTCATTTGAGATGTGACTGGAACTCCAGTGCTGTGGCTTTTAAGTAGTGAATGATCCCAGAGGAATGAAAGAGGCTGTTCCCTTTCCTTGCAGGAAATTGGTGCCTATGAATAGGTGTTAGGCACAGGCACGGTGTGTGTGCCTCACCAGGAAAAGAATCCAAGTGGTAGCAGTGGTCAGGAATTTCATTATAGAGCCGGAGCAGGCTAAAACTGCAACTACTGCTGGTGAGCCCTGAGTGTGGCAGAGACATCTAAAGGAAGAGTTTAGAGCTGGTGGAGGCTCTCTTGCCTATTAATCTACAATCTTGTTATCATTTCGGCATGTGTCCATCAGACATCAGGAAGCGCTGCAGCTACTTTAGAATTAATGTAGGACCCCCAGGAGTTGGTCAGATTTGTACTTCCTCATGTATTCTTAAGAGTTATGACCAAGGATTGCTGTGTTTCCCAATTTTTTTATGGAGAACCACAAAAACGACAGCACATAATCCACAGAAGGTTTGGTAAGTTTTTATTGCCTGGTGTTATCCTTGACAATCAATCTTTTGGAAGTTCTTCCATAGATGAATGAGGCACCTTTTAGGTTTCTTACCTGTTTAAGGACAAAAACACATCTTACGACTTCAAATCTGCTTGTTGCTTGTACCTTTGTCCTCTTTCTTTGAAGAAATAGCATGCAATGCATTCTTCTGGGCATGTCAATTGTTTGCTGCACCAAAGTATACCTTAGTGTCTTGGTAGCTTATCTTACCTCTTCCGTTTCAGTGACTGCCTGTGGAAAATCTGAAATGGCTTCCATCTTTAATATTGGTACCTTTAGTAACTTAAAGAAACTGTAGGAACAGATTATGATTTCTGCCTCTTCAAATCCACTCAATGTTTTCCTGGCTGTTGGCAACTCCCATTTTCCTGGGTTGAATCAGTTTCTTGATTCAGCTCAAAGTTAGCGGTAGCTAGAGATCAACATGCTAGAAACAAAACTGGCAGAGCTCTGCTGCTTGCTTTGCTTCTGGGGGATCCTGGATCCTACACCAGGGGTATTGGGGGAGAGCAAGGAGGGTGTCTCTTACTATAATGAGTGTCCAAAAATACCAATACATGGTAAGAAAGCTGGGAAGCGACGAACATTCAAAAGGAGTGCGAAACAAAAAACAGGGGTAAGTAGCAAAGTTCTGTCTCTGTTAGGACAGTCCAGGAGCTGTTAAGTAGTTACATTTGCATGCTCTGGTTTAATGGCCTTGCTGGTTTGTTGGCTACTGGGGACAAGTCGTCAACCTTCTGTTAAGATTAGAATAGGTTTGGTTTTTTTATTCAAGTCCACATTTATTTTTTTTTAAATAATTTTCCGGAAAATTCTAGTATGATTCCCAAAACTATTAAGATGTAGTTGTATAAGTTGACTTTATTTTTGCCTTCAGATGCTATCTGTGAGTTCCCAGGATTTATTCCATTGACCAGACATACTGATTTCTCTAAAATTCAAATGTCTCAAAAATACCTGCAAAAAGAACTCTTAATCTACACTACTGTTCAACCTGACGATTTAAAGATGTTTTGCCAAGGCGAGCTTATCTTTTCAGGATCTTTATAGGCTTATCTCTGACTGCATGGGTAGGGAAATGCTTGTCTTGGTGCAGGACAATCTGTATTCATGACCTTTTAAGAATACAGACACTATTTGCCATTAATACCTCTGCTGATAATGCGTTATTTTTGAACTATATGCAAACACAAATGCTTGGTTTGTATCCTTCAGCAAAAATAATGATTACTTCAGAAAAGTCATAGGAGGTTCTTTGTGTTTTTGCTTTACAGATTGCTTTCTAAATGCTTAATACTGCAAATGTTCATAATATTTTTTTTCAGTCTTAAAATACTAAAAAGTTCTTCATAGAACAGAAAAGTTCATTTCACTTTTTGAGTCTCGATGTGATATATTAGTGGTTATCTCAGTGTGATATATTGGTGGCATTGCAAGAGAGTACTTACTTTTACAGATCCTTGTTGCTCTTTGTGAAAGAAAGACAAACTAACCTGAATTTTTACAGTAACAGTGTCCTTTCTGGAAGTTAGTATAACAGGAAAAAAATGTGTTGCGGTTATGGGCCTGAAAAAGCCTCCTACTTACATCTCATGTTTTGTACCAGCATTTAAACTGGTACTATCTGCTTTGCTACTTACCTAACTATTCTCTTTCTTTTCTTCCAGACCTGGATTTTATTTCCTGGAACAAAATAACATTTTAGGGTGCCATTAATTTTCAGATTAAACAAGTCATAAAATGTAAATAAGCTGACAAAAGAGCATTTACCTTCTTTTCACAAAGCTGTTAGTATTAGGATTTCTGTATCTTCCTCCCATCATAATTCACTTCTTCCTCTTGGGTGCCTTACAATGAAGGCACTGTTATGGTTAGTATATTGGAGTGTGTTGCACAGGGAATGATTGATACTTTAGAACAGATGGAAGCATAACTTCTTTCTTTAACCTTAGTCTCAAAGACAAGCACTAACACATTTTTGGGTGTTTTTTTGGCTCGGAGATTTCAGACTTGGCGTCTGCAGCCTTCTTGTTCCCATTTGAATAATCAATTCCACATCAAAAACCTTGCATAACTGTGGAATCATGATGGTTGGGCTGTGCGGCCCACCAGCACTTACGCTTTAAAAGAAATAATACGGTTTTCTATTCTTCTAAACTGATCATCATTCTCCCAGCATCCCTCAGCTATATTCTGAGCAAACGTGCATGTCCCTACTATTTCAGTCCTCACTCACCTTCAAGCAGCAACAACAGTAGATGAGCTGCTCTGGGGGCAGTGTTTCAAATTATCTAAATCAGATATTTATTTTACAGAAGTTGATGCTGAAGAGCTTGGGGCCCTAGAAGGGGAAAGCTGGGTAGCTCAGGACAGTGAGGCAGTGATGCTGGCGATCAGGTTCTCCCTTGAACACATTAAGATACTGCAGGTCTGGTGGTAGGTAGTCCCCTATGCCAAGAACCCCATTCCCCATACCTTCCCTCTCTGGATAATTCCAAATATTCCCCCACTTCCTTACAGCGCTCCTGCTTTTAAACTTTTAGGTCTATTGGTGTGTGAGAGCTAAATATATAGTAAAGGAAGGTGCGATGTAGTCGGCTGTGAAAGACATGCAGGGCTGAAGAGAGCTTGCTGGTTAAGTTGGGGAGATGTGAAGGGAGAGTGGGAAATCAGTGACATACTGGAGTTTGTTGTCACTGATGAGAAGCTGAGCTTTACTGGGAGAGTGACCTAGGAAACTAGCAGGGTAAGAAGCAGTAAGGCTGAGAGCTTATTTTGACACATCTAGGCCCCTTTTTTCTTTTTTTTTTTTTTTTTTTCTTCCTTTTTTGACCATTGCTGCAAATTGTATTTCTGATGATTTGCTTTGCAAGTATCTGGTCATCTCCTGTTCCCCTTGAATAGGTATGTTTACAATATAATGTATGTTCAATAGTTTAAGATGCCCACGCCTTCAGGCACCCCTGAATGTGCTGATGTGAGGGACTTGGATGAAAGTTTGGAGGAGCTGCTCATTTTGTTCCAGACAACAGAATTCAGCTCACTAGCAGAAATTCATGTAAATTCCCTGTTTAAAATGCAGTCCCTATCAGTTGTATACACTTCCCTCTGAAAATGACTGAGGGTAGATTCCCTTCTCTGCAGTCCTTTGTTCTGACTCAACATTTAATTTATGAACACATACGTGTGTGTGAGAGTATTCATCCCTTCTACATACACAGTCACATACATGTGGTGTACCTGTATACTAAATATCAGACATCATTTAAACTGCTCTGATTTGAACAAGATAAGACTTCTGGCTCTTCAGTTAAATAGCCATATCCCTGTTTCTCTTCACCAAAACATCTTTACGCTTGCAGAAAAAATACATACGGGATAGAAGTGGCCCTTCGACTTCATGACTGTCATCTCATACTGGTAGACCTCCAGTTGAAATCTGCAGTATAAGAACTCATTCTTGCTACTGCTCCCATGGATTGACATAGTTTTTCATTTTTTTATATAATTGCTATAAAAGCAAAAGAATTAAAATCAGATTTCTTTTTTGGCTCTTTTTATATTTCAGTTTAGTTTCAGACATTAGTTTCCATAGAAATCTGGCCAAAAGCTCCCCAATGTTTATATTCGGTCTAACTCCTCTCCAGGCATATTATTGCAGGTCACTTACTGCCGAACCATATCTGAGCCAGAAGAGATGTTTGGTCAGTATTACTCCAACCTGCTTAATTGCTTTTGTGTGGCAAGATGTTTACTTGCAGGAGACTGGATGGTTTTGGTAGAGCTGTCTCCAGTTTTCTAGTACTTGTTTCACGTTTCCCACTAAGGTACCGACTGCATCAGGTACTACTTTGCACAACTCTCAATACAAAGAGTATGGCAAGGTGCAGAAAAGAGGTGTCTTTTTTTATTATTTGTAATCATGAAAATTGACTTATTTAAAAAGCCCAGTTATTTCTTATACTTTGCGTCTCTTTGCTTGTTGCTGTGATAATCTCTGAGATGCCAGAGCACCAAAGACTTAAAACTGAAATATGAGCAACTAAATCATAAACCACAAAGCAGAACTCCTGTAAAACTGCAGTTAGTGCTATGTGAAAATGGTCTAATTCAAGGTCTTCAGCTCTTACTCAGCTCTTTTTCTCAAGGTTTTGAGTGAGTTTTGCACCATTGCCTTAGAAGCAAGGAAGTCCCAGATACTTTAACAGGTGACTGCAGGAGGTATCAGTTTCATTTCATATTTCTCGCCAATATCTGTGATAGGGCAACCTCAGTTTTACACATGATGCAGAAAACACTTACTCAGGCCAGCAAACTACACGTGGGAAGTGTTCAGTTATGTTGTCGGCTTGCATGGTAAGAATTTAAACCAAAGTAGCAAAAAAAAATTGTTTCTCTTGGAAGTGATGCTCCATAGTAGCAGAAAGTATTCTACCATTATTTCTGTTCTTTGTTAACTTATTTTGTATGAGGTTTGCAGTCCGTATGTTATTTGGACATACTGGGTGTCTCATTAAAAGCTTCTTGAAGAATTAAAAGCTGAGAAAGTTTGGTGGTGGGTTGTTTTTCCAAAAAAGAATGCCTGTAACACCTGGAGCAATTCCAACATGAATTCCAGTTTGGGTTTTAGCTTTATGATGTGCTTTGGGTTCACAGTTTCTTTGTAATGTGCCAAAGGTACCATTTGACTTCTTTGGGCTTAATCTTCCTCTTTTTCCTAGGAGCTGATGCAGCAGAATGATATTGGCTACGTACTAAACGCCAGCAATACTTGTCCAAAGCCTGATTTTATTCCAGAGTCTCATTTCCTGAGAGTGCCTGTGAATGACAGTTTTTGTGAGAAAATTTTGCCTTGGTTGGATAAATCGGTTGATTTTATAGGTGAGAGAAAACTTAAATCCTGTCTCTAAAACAGTTTCTGGATTCTTTTGTGTGTCTGCCTTGCTGTTTTGGCTGGAGAAGACCTAAACGCTTTCTGGGAGGTATGAAAATACCCTAAGGATCTACATACACGATCACCATCACTTGATAGGCACAGAAGCAAAATAATATAAGGAGATGCTGACGCTGCGTGTTCCAGCACTTGAGGAACAAAGACACTTTTAAAGAACACAACTCTGCTTTCTGGCAACCTGGTAGATGCCTGATATATGCCTGCAGAGAGTGAATTAGAAAATTTGACATACAGATCCTGTCTTTAGCTTTGAGAAGTGAGCTAGCCAAATTTGAACAGGCCAAATTGTTCCACCGTGAATGCTTGCTTTTTACTTGCATATAAAATTAGAAACAATCACCTTCACCAGACATCTGAAAAGGTTTGTTTATGTGCACGTTAAAATGCAGTATGCTGTAACTGCAGTGTTTCCTGTGTGTAGTCCCTTGCTTTTTCTATACTCAATGCTATACAGTGCTAGAGAAAAGAAGTGATTTTTGTTTAAAGCTTCGATGAAGTTTGCAATTAGCAGTTAATTTGGACATTTTGAACAATTTTAAATAACATTGCTTTCTTTGCAAACTTTTCATCATGGTCTAATGCTGCTGAGTGTGACACCTGCCAATTTCTTTGCTATGCAGAAAAAGCAAAAGCATCAAATGGCCATGTGTTAGTGCACTGTTTAGCTGGAATATCTCGCTCTGCCACAATTGCCATTGCATATATCATGAAGAGAATGGATATGTCCTTAGACGAAGCTTACAGGTAAGGAGAATTTTTCCTATCATATTAATTCTTGTGCCTGTTGGCTTGTTTTTAAGGTGAAGAATTAAAGCTTGTATGACCAAGGGTAGAAGCAGACATGTTATTTTATCCGGTCCTCTGCACACTCTTGTTTTAAATGTAGGCTTCCTCCATAAACAAATTAGTGGTGTTGTGTAGACATCACACACCTAATATTAATTCCCCATCTGCAAAATGTTAATGTTGGTCATTACTCCGAGTAGGCAAATACCTGGAATTTAAACTGCTTATTAAATGTGTACGTATGTACATACATGGTCAGAGCTATACCACACATACAACAATAGCTTCTAAGTCAGAGAGAGAATGGAATGGATAGGGTTAAAGAAAGAGAACCGATGATATTTATAGTCACTCCAGCTAGGCTGGAGCTGTTGACTTCAGTTTGGTATTTAGTAATGCTCTCAAAGAACTGCCTGCAGGTGAAATGTCTAGGAATTAAGAAAGCTTCTTTGTTGCTATTAAACCTAACCGGAAAGTATTTTGAGGTGTTAGCTCTTTGTGGCATCAGGGAATTTTTGTGGGACCACCCTCCCACACCCCTCTCTTTTAACCTTTCAAATCCCACATTTCTGTACTTGGATTGTGAGCCCTTTACTAGATTCCAGGTGGCGCAGTTGCAGTGTACGGTGACTTCTCTATTTCATTTAACAACCTGCTTTGTTGTGTTGTACAGAAAATGATGGTTTTCTTTTAATGAGCATTATGTGCTAGTTGGCACAGCTGATGCATTGCTGTAACACGCATGGTGCAAAGGCAATTTCAACAATTGCGCTGGAGCAGGTGGCGAGGAGTACCTTTCAAATCACTACTGTATTTGCTACTACTGTCTCTCAAACACCGATGAGGACAGAAAGATTTGACAGTCCCTTGTGGAGTGTGATTTCCATGGGGCATTTTCTTTTAAGCTGATGAACATAATTATGTATGCAGTGAAAAAGGTGCATGTAAGAGGCAATTTCCCATTGCCTTTAGAAATTTTCCACCATTTCTTGCTAGAGCCTGCTGACAGTTTGGTGTTGTGCGGTAATTTCAACATGTATGGTGATACAGATTTGGTTAAGAGGCGTAGGTGAAAACTCACAGTTACACAGGTACGGATAATATGGATGAATTAGTGGACGTGGATGGATACTGTGCGAGGTATGAGCTTGAGTCACTAAAAAAACCTGTCTTGTCTCAGGCTGTAGTGGTCTGGAGGTTAGAGCTGTAGAGTACTAAACACTTCTAAAATGCACATGCTTTGGGGAACTTCTAAAAGTGCTGCTTCTAAATTACTCTGTGAAATCTCTGCATTAAATTCTAGTTTGTTTCTTAACCAGAAGTGTCAACTGAGTGTGAAGGATTAATCATCATAGGCCTTTTTTAATTTGCACTGTTAATACTGAACAACTGTGAAATTTAGATTCTATTTTGCTATGTTTCCTTTGATATGGCTTAGTGAGAACAGTCTGAAGCACATTTCACTCATTGGTTTGGGATCTCTTGTTGGCAAAGCTTGAAAGAAAAATACTTTTCTCTGACTTAATTGAAAGTCACTAGATAAAATGTTTGTCTGACACTATTACCAAAAAAAAAAAAAAAAGGTGACACTCATTTGAAGTGAAGGACCTGAGGAAATAAATGTTTTTAATCTTTTCTTTTGTATGATGGATGATACAAGGGAAACAAACATCAGAATCAAATGTTATGTATTTTTTTCAATTGGAAAAAAAAAGAGTATGCATTTTGAAATGAAAAAGTTTGCAAAACCTTTAAACTTCTTGGGGGGATCCAGCCGACCTTCTTGTATCCTTTTCGTTTTTTAAAACGCTAATTTTAAATTTAGGACTAAATTTGTGGTGTGATACAAGGAGAAAGTGGAAGGAACAGAGGTTTGGAGAGCCTACCAGAACACAGGCCAGAAATGGCAGTGTTGACCAGAGGGATCTTGCTTTAAATAACAAATCCAAGTACAACTAGGCTTTGACTGGAAAAGAATGAAGGTTATATAAATTCTTATGAGCTAACTGCTTACGCTGGAATAAAAGCCCCCAAATTCAATGCTGTGAGATCCAGCTGAATAACCTCCTCTGAAACTTAATAGTTTTCTCCATTTGCCAGTCTTGGCACTTCACGGCGGAAGTTTCCACTATCACTTTGTGCAATCTTATCTTCCAGGTCATCACATCAGCTCAACTATTCCTACTATTGTTTGTTGTTTGGCAACTTAAAAAAAAAATAATTAAAAAAAATGTAAGTTTTGTTTGGTATTTTTCATGTCCTTGCTTGCATTTGTGCTATGTATACACATATGCACAAGTATACCTTTGAATATTTTTCATTATGTTTTTAATGACTGCACACTCACCTTCTGTACACATCCCCAGAGAGACTTTTTTGCTTTTAATAATATTTAATTTTCCCAGTGATACATTATATGTGTGTTTGTACTAGATTTAGCTCTTCAGGGTTTCTTCCCTTGTTAATTCCCTTGTCATCTAGTACCTTCATAGTTCCAGGAATGCTTTAAAAAAAAAACCTAAAGGAGGAAGGATTGGGCAGCTTTCTGTTTTACACCCTGTAAAAAGCAAAGAGTACTTATTTAGCTATACTGCAAATCAGACAGGTGGGAAGTATTGCTTTTGTATTTAACTTTGAAGTATATGACATGACATCTAATGCTTAAGTCTTTCATACATTTAGAGTCCTGGTTCAGGAAAACATTTTAAGTATGAGTTGCACCTTGTCCATATTCAACCGAGTATGTAAGTGCACGCTTAGATTGGCACATGTATGCAAGTCAGGCTGCTTCCTACAGGACTCAAAAGGAGGTTAACTCTTCCAGTGGTTTGATAATACTGCTGCCCTTTACTGCTGAACACCTACAGAGCTGGAGAGAGCATTTCTGTTTTAATGCTGCATTTGCTCCTTTCTGTTTTTCTTTTTGATTATCGTATCAGTGGTCAATACCAGTGTATGGTAGAAATCGCTGGCATTTGCTGTATAAGGTCAGCATATATCAGAGCTCTTTGTCTTGCCTGACAAAGATAAACAGGGTGTAGGAAGCACTCACTGTTATAACAAGAGGATGAGAGAGGTGAAAGGAACATGAGGTTTTATCCTTTTGAACAGTGGGGAAGATGGTCCACTTTCTGTAGTGCAGGGGAGGCCAAGGTCTCTTGGCTAGAGCTCTGACACTGTTCACGCAGAACTTGAGGAGCTCTTAACTCTGGTCAGAAACCGAGGTATATTACCGATCCCACTGGTAAAATAAAATACGGGAAATGATTCCCTCAAACCTTGTTGTGGACATCATAAAGAGGTAAAAAGAATGCTTTCTTTTCCCTTTTTTAGCTACCTTTAAGTAAGCTGCAGAGAGAATTGAGAGCATCCAGGATTATCTTGTTTTAAAGCTGCCTTTTTTTTCTTTTTCATCCGTGTTTCCTGTGCTTGACTGAACCTTAGTCCAGGCATTCTAACAAGTTAAGATTAGGCTGTTAACATTCACATTCACATTCACATTCTAGGGTTATCTCATGTCTGAGCGGCAGATTGTTAAATTAATTCTTATTTCATTTGTCCCCTCTTTCCAGATTTGTGAAAGAAAAAAGGCCAACCATTTCTCCCAACTTCAACTTTCTGGGACAGCTTCTGGACTTTGAGAAAAAGATCAAGAACCAGAGCGGTCAGCCTGGACATATTAGTAAGCTGAAACTTCTGCATTTAGAAAAAAGCAGTGAGCACGTGTTGGTCCCAGAAGGCGGGCAGAGCAGTCTCTCTGCTAACCAGCTGTGCATTACCACTACCTCCGAGATCGTGGAACAGAAGCCAACGGACTGCGGCAGTGCACCATGCGGGCACTTGTCCCCCCTGGAAGATGGCCCGCTGGTACAGGGCATAAATGGACTGCATGTCTCCCTAGACAAGGTGGAGGACAGCAACCGGTTGAAGCGCTCCTTTTCTTTGGATATCAAATCTGTATCCTACTCGGCAAGTAGCAACTGTGTGACTGCATCGGTTCAGGGCTTTGCCTCCTCTGAAGACACCCTGGAATACTACAAACACACAACTGCTTTAGAGGGCAGCACCAAGTTGTGTCAGTTTTCCCCTGTCCAGGAGGTCTCTGAGCAGACCCCAGACACCAGCCCTGATAAAGAGGAAGCAAACCCTCCCAAGAAACCCCAGAACACCTGGCAGCTGGATAGCCAGAGCAAACGGCAACACCTGGGGAGAGCCAGCAGCAGTGCCACCACTCAGCGTTCGCTCCTGTACCCCCTCCACCGGAGTGGGAGCATGGAAGACAACTACCAAACAAACTTCTTGTTTGGTCTCTCCACCAGCCAGCAGCATTTGACAAAGTCTGCTGCTGGGCTGGGCCTCAAAGGCTGGCACTCAGACATCTTGGCTCCTCAGACATCGGCTACGTCCCTTACCAACAGCTGGTATTTTGCAACCGAGTCCTCGCGTTTCTACTCTGCCTCCGCCATCTATGGGAACAGCGCTGCTTACTCTGCCTACAGCTGTAGTCAGCTGCCCACAGGCTGTGACCAAGCCTGTGCTGTGCGCAGGAGGCCAAAGCAGGGTGATCGAGGTGACTCCAGGCGTAGCTGGCATGAGGAAAGCTCTTTTGAAAAGCAGTTTAAGCGCAGAAGCTGCCAGATGGAGTTTGGGGAGAGCATCATGTCAGACAACAGGTCCAGAGAAGAACTAGGGAAAGTAGGTAGTCAGTCGAGCTTTTCAGGCAGCATGGAAATCATTGAAGTCTCTTGAGAGGCAGCAGGCTTCTGTGACTGTATTGGAGTTGCTTCCCCCTCCAGGCCACTCCCCCAGCATTTCAGAGGTCCCTGTAAATCTGAAAAGAACAAACTTTGTGCAGAAAGGTGGTGGTGGTGGTGGGGAGAAATGTGAGGTTTCAGTGTGAATGCAGTGACTAGATTAATACCGCAAAGAAATGACTAATGAGCGTCTGCCTGAGGAAACCGAGCGTACGCTGTGTTTTTCTCCTCCCCTTTCCTGGAGAAGGGCAGAACATTTCAAAGATCTTTCCCTGACTGAGAAAGCAATTATATGCAATGGATTGCACATCCTTTCAGTGGTTTTTAAAAAGGAAGCTCTCTTGGTATCAAACCCTTTCTCTGGTTCCACTGAAACACGCTCCTACCCATCAAAGCTAGTTTTGTTCTCCCCTCCTCATCCTCCACATCCTCACCAGTGCACCTTAACCCTGACACTGAGCCAACCTCTGGAGGGAGACCTTTTTTCCTGTCAGAAGGAAGACCAGGAGTGATTCCAAAGCACGTAGGGACTGGTTACAGCAAGGCTGGTCTGAACACACAGTTCAGAGAAATGTAAATACTGGTGTAACTATTCTTCTAATGGATAGGCTTTAGGTGATTCGCTAGAGAGCTGCTTCAGAGAAAAAAAAAAAAAAACAACAAAAAACAGTACCTCAAAACCATGAAAAATAAACTAGGGCTTTATGGCTGCCAGATGCTGGTAGTCAGTTCATAAGCAATGTGAACAAGTAACGACTAGCCACATTTGATTTTATTTTTTTTTTAAAGCTGTCTACGCACAAGTGTTTCAGTTGGCTCAGCAGCAATTCTTAAAAAAGAGGAATGAACCATACTTATGACTGTTTCCCCTACTCTTTTGAAACGTAAAATAAGCAGTATTTCTATTTTTGATATTAAGCTGGCTTCTGGGATAGGGGTGGCTGCTTTGGCTTCTAAGCTATAAAGGAGTGGTTAATACTTAGGGTTACATGCAAGAGAAGTGGCTGGTACAATACCACAACATCCTTTTCTTGCAAATTGACAATTCAATAGATGGCTCTTGAAGGCGCTTTTTTTTTTTTTTTTAAAGCTAAAAATGAGTTGGGATGGGCTTTTGTCCTTAACTGAGCAGTACCATTAAAGAACTGCTCTTCATATGGTTCCAGTCATGCATGGGGTGGGTGCAATTCTGGGGGTTGTTTTTTTTCCATCTCAACATCCTCACCCAAACTCTGGGGACTTGGAGATAGAAGCTTCTCATTAGGTTTGCTGACCTCATCTGAGAAAGAGAGGTCTGGCTGGCTGTCTAAGGAAAACCGAAGGGGACCTCCAGTGTCCCATCTCATAGTGCGGTGTGAAAGAATGGGGCTTTGAGAAGCGACAGCTTTAAAGGGAAGCCTGCTCAACTCCCGCACTCGCAGCTCCAAAGGAACTCGATCCTGCCTGTTGTCCTCTGTCCCAGTGTAGGGTCTTGGTTTCCCAGCATGCTGATGCATGATTTGGTTGCAGACGCTTCAAGCTGTGCTGCTGCAGCCTGGTACCACGTCCTCACCCTCACCACCCCGGGGAACACGCCAGCTCAAGAAGGTATCACCTCCCTGCTGCCAGCAAGGTGTTTCATGGGAGATTAGGCACAGCCCTTCTGTCCTGGTTTGGGCTGGGCTGGCCACTAAAGTGAACGACAGCAAACCAGCTGCTTCCCCTCCAGCTCACCATTTGTGCGGTACCTTTGACTGCCACTGCTCAAATTATTTTATATGTGCACACATTGCCGCAAGAAGTTTGCGGTCAGCAAGGGGTAGTTCCAGAGGCACAGCGTCAAGCTTCATCCTTCCTGCTCCGATGGGAGCTGCACACCATGTTATCTTGGTCTTCCCCCGGACCACTCAGAACATGTCGGGGGGAACTATATTGTTTTGTCCCATTTCAGTGCAGGCAGCTGAAAATTGTAAATCACATGTAACAAACACCCTTGGCCAACAGCTTTAAAAAATATTTGTCAGCAGCAAACTGAAGCCCTGATTCAAGTCAGCAACTTGGGTTATGTTGGGGTTTGTTTTGGGTTTTTTTTTTTGTTTGGTTTTCTTTTTTACTGTAAGCTTAGCTAGTTTGTGACTCAAATCTCAGGTTTTACTGTATTGAAAAGTGGAGAAGATTTTGTCACTTTGTTTTGTGGCTAGGATGTGACTTTAATTTCCTACAGTGGACTGTTTTAAAATAGCACTGAAAGCTACAGCATTGATTAACTTGATCCTAAAAAGTGCAGAAGGCACAGAGAGAGAGGCAACACCAGGAGCAACTGAACCCAGGGGCTGTGTTCATGATGGATGGAGATGCTGGAAAAAGGGGGAGTCTCAGCAAGGGCTAGGTTGACAGCATGCTGGAAAGCATGTCAGGTCTTGGCTATTCATTAAACATGCTGCACTTGTCTCTGTTTACCTATCAAGTGAAAGTGATTACATTACAACTATTTTCAGCATATATACGCACTCTGTGTGTATATACATATATAAACGATTTAGCAGTGCTCTTCTCAGCCAGATCGCAGTAAAAGCCCACGTCTTTGATTCAAATCAGTTAATGGGGGTTAACACAAATCAATCCCTGGAGGCAGAAACAGAATCTTCCTGTCCTTTGTGCTCCTCCACATGTTTGTGTTCTCCCCTTCTCTCCATACAAATACACGTTTGGGTTTTGTTTTGTTAATCATCTTCTAAGGAACTGAAATCTGGTCTTCTGGCTCCTTGTGATTTCCAATACACTATAGTCACTGAATGAATCAAAGCTGTAGGCTCAGTATTTTTAGGGGACAGGTTGCTGTAGGAGGAAGCCTTAACCCTATGTCCTGCGCAGGGTGGTGCCCTGTCTCCTGTCTGACCTAGTGTCCTGTACCTGAACAATGCTGGAAATGGTTTGTAGAAGTTTGGAATGCAAAGTGGAGGATGTAAGGGTGGGTGAGGGGGGGGAAATGTGTACATGTTCAATATGAATATAATGTTCTTTGGTGTATGGCAAGCTGTTTAAATGGTTCAGAGAGATGTGAGTTTCTCATCTTGTTGTGTCATGAGCATTACCTGTATGTTATGTTGAAATAAAATCAGAAATGGTACCTGTTTATATAGAACGGCTGAGGAAGGAGCCTCTGTGCCTCTGGCTGTGGAGTGTGCGTTACCTGCCTGAAGTATGACCTGCTCCCCAGCACCCAGGACTAGCAGTGGGCTCATCCTTATCATACATATCCTTCTCTGCAGATGTGTGCCTGTTAATGAATGACACAGATGGGGTAGCTTTGGACCCCTCATTGCAAGCAGCGGTGATTTTACAGCACCAGTAAGAGTTTCAGCCTCTTACCTGCTCCTGTTTACCCCACACCTTCTACCCCCTTGAATACCAGCAGTGGCACTTCTCTGCATTAACAACTTACAATGTCTAACACTGTTGTGGATAAACTGTTCCCAAGGCAGCTGTGCTAGTCTTTCTGAAGCAAGTATTTCAAATTGATTAAGTTATCCCTGTATGAGCCCCATGTTTTTTTCTTGCCTCCCATACTTCTCACTTGAAGAATTTAATTACTTGTTTTGACTGATTCTGCCAGTCCTGAAGCTCTCAGAGCGACTTCTGATTGCTCAGTGTCCTGGTCCTGTCCTGCTGTGTCAGAGCACTTCTCAGCCCACTCCTGTCTTGGTTATGGTTTTTTTTCTTTTTTTTTCTTTCTCGGTTTCCTTATGTTACACAGTAGAAGCACCAATGGTCTATAGAGCTGCACTGTGCTGCACATACAGCCTGTTCTGTGGTTGTAGCCCATCTTTCCAGACATACCATCGAGTGTATGGCAAAGCGACCCTGCAGCAATACTGGATGTTCATTTATTCACTTCCCTTTATACCAGCACAAACTGCAATTACAACAGTGTTTCAGCCAGCAAAGTGGGTATGCTGTATTTTATGATAAAACCAATGGTCTAAACTATGTGCAGTATGTATACTCCTATTCTAAATGGGCAGTCTGAGAAACTCTGCACTTTCAAGTGTGAGAGTGTGTACAGGTATCACTTTGCGAGGCCATCATCACCATCATTTGGCCAGTGACTTGAAGCAAGTTTTACTAAGTGCCAGAAAGCTTAATTATTAGCATCACAAATTAATTATACCCCCTAGGAGTATGGGCTCAGCAGTAAGACAGGGTAGGCATGTCAATAACTCCATGTTTTAAGTAAATAAGTACTCAGTTTGAGTTCTTTACAATTTGGCAGCAGAGTTGGGTCTAAGAGGCAGCTTCTGCCACACTGCCTTTGAGTAAGGCAGTCTATTAGCCCTCTGATCATCTTTGTAGCTCTCCTCTGGACCTGCTCCAACAGGTCCATGCCTTTCCTAAGTTGGGGGCTCCAGAGCTAGATGCTGTACTTCAGGTGGGGTCTTACCAGAGCAGAGTAGAGGGAGGCCACACTTCTGATGCAAGCCAGGCTACGGTTGGCTTCCTGGGCTGCCATTGTGCATTGCCAGCTCATGTTGAGGTTCTCATCAATCAGCACTTCCAGGTCCTTCACCTCAGGGCTGCTCTCCAGCCATTCCCTGCCAAGCCTGTATTTGTGCCCCGACCCAGATGTAGGACCTTGCACTTGGCCTTGTAGAACTTCATGAGGTTGGCTTGGGCCCACCTCTGCAGCCTGTCCAGGTCCCTCTGGATGGCATCCCTCCCCTCCAGCATGTCTGCCTCACCAAACAGCTTGGTATGATCGGCAAATGGGAAATGCAGAATCTGTGGCCTCTCTAGAAGAGACTGTACCATCAGGCACAGCACAAATAACACTTGCGTGAGTTTCTGTACTTTCTACAAAAAAGATGTACCGGCTTTTACCTAGAAAGCTTTCATCTCCTGCATGGTAAAACAAGAACCATGCACAATACTAGACCTAAATGGCATTAGCTTGTTATCCCATAAAACAGGTAGGCTTTGACAATCTTCTAAGATTTACCTGCTCTAGCTTCCCTCGCC